CGCCTTTACCGACTGAGCTAAGGGAGACCCATAAGTATCTGCCAACCCTATCAATGAGCTCAACTTTTTTTCCCTGATTTTAATAGATTAATTATATTGTTTATGCATAATAATTGCAAATCACTCACCCCTGTCAAATGCATGTTGGTTGCCTTTAGCCTTCACAGTCATATGAAAATGGGCAGATTATTATTAACTCTTCGGGGTCACGTCATAGCAATTGATTGATGTCTTCGGAAAAGTTGCGCAACTATCCAAGGCCTACTTTACAAATGAAAAATTACAGTTCAGTGGATTACTATTCAAGAAATTTTGTTTTGAATCCATTGAACGAAGCATTCTAACGTCGCTTAAAAAAAGTAGTCGAACATGTTGAAATCATCAAAGCAATTTAATATTGAGTTTTAGTTGATTTTTTAGAACTAGAGCAAATAATCTAATAAACATTTTTTTTTTCTAAAACATACCGAAGATGAACCAGCGTCTGGCTGGAAATCTCCTTAATAAAGACTACCAACCAACCAAAATCATATATCCAAATTCAACATTGTTAATATTTATCAATTCGTATCAGCGATAAACGGTAGAAAAAAAAATAAGATGTTGCTCTTAAAAGCCCACGTTTACGCACACGGACGGTGGAGTCAACTCAATTTCGTCAATAATAAAATTAATTAAAACAACATTAATAGACTGAGTGAAACCTCTATCGATATTCCTCATATTTGTGAAGCATTTCCAGGAAAATTATAAAAATTCAACTCAACTTTTGACGAAATTGAGTAGACGTTGAGTCAACTGTATTAATTTGTTAATAAAGAAAAGTAATAAAAAACATTTTTTTTTATCAAGAACTCGAAAGCAGTAAGCTACACACTACTGTTGAGTTGCTTATTTTGATGTCAATAAAATGTCAGAGTGAAAAGTAAGTGTGGACGAGATTCGTACTATCTGTTTCTATCTATATTGGCCCTCATTCTTTTCTTTAATGTCGGTCTCTGTTCCGAAATCTAGTGCCAATCACCGACGGACATCGATTTGCCATCCATTGACGGCAATCGAATGTGCAAGAAGTCGGCCTCCACACCTGCATAGGATATCGCACCCATTCAACACACATGGGCCGGGACCAACGGCTTTACTTCCCTTCCGAAGGAAGACGTGACCAGATATTTTTATGCTTCAGAAAAATCCCACTGACCCCGGCTGGGATTAAACCCAGACCCATTGGGGTGAGAAAGCAATCACGCTTACCACTACACCACCGGCGCCAGCAGATGGTCCTCATTATAATAAGAAACTTTGCTGAAGGCTCCAAGTCTTTTTTTATTGATTTTTTTTTTTTTCCTACCGACGCCAGGGAGGCAGCTCCCACACCCGGACCCTACCTATCGACCCATCAACTCATGAACCGGGGACCAACGGCTTTACTTCCCTTACGAACGAAGACGTGATCAGAGATTTTATGCCTCAGAAAATCCCGGTGGCGCCGACTGGGATTGAACCCAGGCCTGCTGGGGTGAAAGGCAATCACGCTTACCACTACACCACCGGTGCCTCTAATTCTTTTAATTTGTTTTACGTCGATCGTGTTTTCCGTACTAGGTACTAGTGCTACTGACGCCAGGCAGCTACCACATCTGGACCATCCTACCACCTATCGACCCATAAACTGATTGGACCGGAGGGAAGAGATTTTATGCCTCACACTCAGGCAGTTGACTGGCGAAATTCATAAAATTTGCCTTATGATGCCTTAATTTTTTCCTAAAACATGATTCCATAAGTCTGTTATGGGTTTCATATGGTTTGAATGATTTTTATAAGTGAAAAGGAAGAAATCTTTATGAAATACATACAATTTTCATTGGGGCGCATAATGATTTTCTTTCCTGTAACCAGTGCGAAAAAATCATAAAATTAATCTTATGAAAAAAAAAAGTATGGCGAACATTGTGTTGGACGAATTAAGGCTGATCGCAGATTTTCTTGCAGAGGCACCCGCAATTTGCTTGGATATTTTTAAAGGTAATGTTTAATAAAATAAATAAACAATTCACTTATTGCAAAATAAAATTTAATTGCAGGTGCTGGAATCAAAACCGTTCATTTATTGATGTATAGTGAGAGCGAGTTGAGTGCCGCCATCAGGGCTGGCCCTGATCCGACGCTCGAAATCGATCAATTATGGTCCTGGATAGAAGATTGTCGTAAAAGGAACGTAAGTATTCTATAATAGTATTATTTAATAAGCTATCCTAATTAATCAAAATGAGATTTTTTATTTAATTTATTTCAGGGTCTGGTTAATCTCACAATTATAAATAATGCACTATCGGCACAAGCGGTTTCATGTTCTGGAAACTGTGCCTTGGAAGACAGACAGGCGGAAGCAAGGCCGGATGCATATTTTCAACCTGAAAAATATTTCAATCATTCCCTCACAGCAAATAACATTGGCGGTTATCCAGTCGCAGAGGAGGAGGTCCGTCTGAAGAAGGTTTGGCCTGTATACGATTAGCATTTGTCATCGTCACAAACATGTTTTAAAATGTATCAAGAATTTATAGAAATGGCCAGAATAAAATTTATAAATTACTTTCAATGAAAAGCTAAATGGGGAATAATGCATTTTATTATAATAAATGGGGGCCTCCCTTAGCTCAGTCGGTAAAGTTGCAGCTTCAAAGCAAGACCATGCTGGAGGTGGCTGGGTTCGATTCCCGGTTCGGTCTAGGAATTTTTCAGGTTGGAAAATTTCTCGACTTCCCTGGGACTTGCCACACAATCATATCAATGCAAAAATGGTACAGGCATCGAAAGCACTCAATTAATAACTGTGGAAGTGCATCTAGAACACTAAGTTAAGAGCACGCAATAAGCTAATATGCGATATGCAATAAGCTTGAAATGCGAAGAAGAAGAACGGGTTCCATATTTGCGATGGATCGAATTCTATAAAGCTGATTGTAAATTTTCATAATGCTGCCTTATGAAAAAGGTGTGATATCTGTTTGATGAAATTCAGTTAAATTCATAAGGCAAACTAATGAAATGCTTACCGATTTCTTGTGGCAAATAAACATAAGGCAAAACGATGAATCTCGCTAGATTTTTTACCTCAGTGCAGAAAATCCCGACGGTGCCAACTGAGATCGATCCCAGGGGTTGAACTGGGATTGCTTATGCACCTAGTCTTGGAAACAATTCGTTTTAAACTTATTAAATACATCCAACTAAATTGTTTGCATTTCCGCCAGGTTCTAAAGGGGAGTTCCCCAACGCAACCAAATTATGTCTTACCTCTTGGAGCTCCTAGGGATGAAAAACCACGAGTACTGGTTTTTCAAATACACTAAGCAGCCTACTTTGATCAACTTGGCATAGACAGTATGTTGACTTGAGTTCCATATATAGTACATTTCTACCGAATCATTAATACAGATAACGTTACAGTTTCTGAAGCTCATGAGTATAAACCGCATATATTACATTCCTTGGCTTAATGATAGTAGTTGGAGAAAAAATCAATGATTCCGTATTAAAAAATAATCATATTATACCATGCCATCTACATCCGTGTAGGGGCACGTTGTACAAATAGACATGGCGCGTATACGTACGTTTAAAGGTCTAAGGTCGGAACGAATGGATCAATTAACTCGTTAAAGACGGTTCTGGTGTTTTTTTCTTTGTCGACGGGCGGCAACATTGTCAATGACATAGCGAATTATTTTTTTTTTCTGGTTTATTTATTTTTCAATTTGTTTTAGCGTGTGATTCGGCAAATGCTGATGCTGCTGCTTGAAATTAGCGCAAAAACAGGGCTTATGAGTTAAATAAGTAGCGAGAAGTTTGTGGAGATGGTCGATGGATGAAAAGTTTACCTTCAATATTTACAAATGACGTCCATAGCAAATGTAATTAACCTTAGAGTAAACGGGGAATAGCAGTAACTTCGGATACTTTAGTAATTAAACCTCAGTCGTCTTCTTGATGGTGTAAAATTGGAATGTCTATGGTTTGTCTAGAACATTGTTGTAAGTTTGTATTCCACTTTTATTGTTCGAAAATCATTAGTCTTTGTAGTGAGAGACACACTTTGGGTGATTTCTATTTGTTTCTTTCATTTTGCCCGTTATTCTGGAGTATAAGTCAACTCTTGCTACTACGAGTAATACAGATTATTAAACTTTCTACACGTTTTAGAGTGGTTTTTTGTTTCTTTACTGTATACCTTAGCTAGATTATCACAAATTAGATTTTTTTTTTTTAATTTTCCTCAGAACCTAACCTATGTAGGAATGTAATTGTTGTGTGGTGTCTTTGTATGTGCCATAGTTAAACTTTTTGATCACTACTCTATATACTGACAGTTGCATAGTTTGTGAGAGTGTAGATACTGTAGAGTTGTGTGTGAGGGGTGTATACATCAATCAGTTGGGATTACACCAAAGGATACGTGCTTTACTTAATAAGTGAGTTTCAATAGCCAATCAGTTTGAAGTTATTCAAAACAAATAAAAAGTGACAAGCTTTTGGGGCAAGATAATACTGGAACCAATTGCTGAAATTAAGATGAAGGTGAACATGCATTTTTTGTACAAAAATATACATCTGATGTATGTAAATACGATATTGTGCCCTACAATTTCCTTTATCCTTACCGATTTGCACACGTTTCGTATTGCTTTAGACACCAAAATCTAATAGCTAGGTACAAAAACATTTCTGAAATGCCTCATTTGTGCTAAACCGAAATCTATCTAAATGTTGTACAAAGCCATGTACAAAGTAATTCACTAGCACTTTATATATTGTTTTATTCTTCTCATTCTTGCACTTATAGCTAATACATTTTAAAAGGGCCATAATGATAGATTCCAAACGACACTGGGCGACACATACAACTAAAAATTTTATAAACTTATTCGAGTTTGCACGATACATTTTGATAAACGTGAGATTTTCAAATGTTTCATAACAAAGATTAATGTCACTTAAAAAATCAAATGATAATAGTAAACAACTTCAACTATAACGCACAATTCCTATTGCAAACCTGCCCAATGTGGTAGGAAACATTTGTCTGATCATAAAACAAAAGCTAAAACACTTTCTTCTCACTAAAATCAAGTTCATTTATGCCCGAATCTGCAATCTCCTTCCAAAGAATCACCTAATTCTCATGACTGTCATCTATTAGGGACTCGTGTTGTTCCTCCAGGTCCGGTATTCGGACAACGTTCGTCTTTCGACAGTTCCGCAGCCGCCTATAGACCAGTTTGCAGAACTTTAGCAAAGGATCACAGTCATCGAACTTCATCAGAAAGGCTACGAGCACCAGCGAAAGGAACATCGGCAACGAGCCGAGATAGAACAGCAATGGGTAGCTCTTGCCGTGAAGCAGCATATCGAACAGCATCGCTACTGGAATTTGTAACGAGATGGCTACAGTTCCAATCAAGGACGACGTTAAAAAGCAGCCCCTAGAAATAAAGAATGTTAAATGATATGTAGATTATAGCCTTTATCTCGAGTTAGGTGACTCAAACTGTAACAACAATTTGAGCAGTAGTAATTCAGTAGTAATTGTTTGTATCAATATTAATCATATTGAGTAATCTAAAAAATAGTCATTATTTTGCTAGGTAAAATCATAGAGGTAACTCTAAGACCAGAAGGTCCCGAAGAAACGAGCTCAACTTTTTGGCTCAGCTCTGGTACTATCTTCGGTCCCAAGCTAATCGATGCACCCCTCAAACATAGGAAAATCCACGAACCGCTCACTTTATCTGTCAAACTTTCATAGCGAATCAAAACAAACATAGTGTAGTACTGAAATTTATACTAGAATGGGCTACGTTAATCGATTTGCTTGGGACCAATAGGCTAGTCAAGTAGTGAGCCAATATAAAATCGTTAGTTTCGTATTGATTGTTGGTAAAATTGAGCATCAATTCTTTTTAAAGTCATACCTCGCTATAAGGCAACTCGTTATTATGTAGCTTTTTCCTCGACAGAGCTTATAAATCTGAATATTTAGAAAATATATGTGCTCATTAACTAGTTCTGGAACGTCAGAATATGTTTAGGATGCATTTAAATTGTTTTGGGATTCAATTGATATCTTTGCTAAGAAACATACGACTGGAACGGAACCAACATATTTAACCCTCCAGTGTCCATTGTCTTCTAGAGATTTCACCTACTTTGATTTGGCTGTTATACAATTCAATATCCCATTCTTTTCGGATTTTGATAGAACTGGTTGAAAATGGTCAATTTTTATGTATGAAAAATTTGATTTTCAGTAAACAGCACTTAAGTGGTTGACAACCTCTCAAATAGTAAGGAATGAAAAGAAATGAGTTTGCTCTAACGTAGAGCTAAACACAATTTTCCAATGGTTTTTCCAAGTGCGTTAAAATTGTTTTTTATCGTCATAAGCAAGCTTGCAAATGCTCATTACAGCTAAAATGCTATTTTTCGGATTTATGAAGCTATGAAATATTTTAATAATAATTTTTATTTACAAGATGCAAGAACAGAAGGTAAAGTGTTTGTATGACACATTAAACATGTCAATTTAGCTTTCGGAGGGTCACAATAGAGCATAAATCTTTCATTTGACCACATCAACGTGCTTCTCTTCCGCTGCCTCTAGATAGAAACGGGTAAGTCTGACAGCTACCATATCTGTGAATGAATTGTTTGGTTTTTAATATACAATCATGAAATAAAATCTCGTTGCTGGACATTGTAGGGTTGTGACCAAAAAGAGAAAAGAGATGGTTTACGAGAGACAGATTAAAAGAGTAAGAAGGTGAGGGCACGAAGGTGAGGGCACGAAGGCAGTATGGAGGGTGAATTATAAACGGGAGTCAGTTGAAATATAGAATTGAAGACGAACAGACGTATTAAGTGTTTTTTCAATAAATATTGAAGACCTCCACCACTGGATCCTACAATTGGCGCAGCCGATAGGTGAGTGAAAAATGTAAGTGCTTAGAAATTTGTTTTTCCTCTAAAATCGTGGTCAAATGATGAAATGGATATTGAGTTGAGTGGGAAATTGTGATAATAGTGTCAGTACAATATTTTTTTTTCTGTTATGGAAATTTGAAATGATTTTTTTATCAACAATATGGCCGCCTTGATTGTCTGGTGGAAATGTACGTATGCTGTCGGTTGAATCTAATCAAGGAAACAAGCGATGGTCTTAAGGTGAAGAGAGTTCTGAGTTCTGAGCTTGAGTTCTAGTGATAGTTGGGGTGTAGGATCATCATTGTACAGTGTAGTACCGTGTGCCTCGTGATAATAATTGAACAGACGCAGACCACTGAAGACAGGGGCCATTTTTCGTTTTGTATTTTGAATGAAATAGCAGCAATGCTGAGCGAGTGAGATCGAACATTCCGTGCAGTTGTCCAGCGGGTGTGAGCCCGGCAGATAGGCATCGCGGCACGAAGCATGGAGAGGCAAAGTTGGCAGCGGTGGAATGATGGAAAAATAAATGGATTGAGACTGATACTTGTCGTAGTGTGGAGCAACCACGAGCCCGGCAGTACCATAGCAGAGAGAGAGAGAGAGAGAGAGAGAGAGAGAGAGAGAGAGAGAGAGAGATAGAGAGTCCGTTCGAACGTCGTAGCAAACCGAGTCCAGTAACGAAACGCTGAGCGAGTGAGACCGAACGTTCAACGCAGTCAGCAAGTGGAAGTGTGAGTCCGATCTCACAGGCATTTTAATACGAAAGATGAATAGAGTGAGAGTCCACTCTCAAAGAGTGTAGCACGCTACAGCAAAAAAAAAAGAGCCTGGTAGTCCTATCGTAGCGTGAAGTATCCACGAGCCCAGCAGTACCATAGCAGAGAGAGAGAGAGAGTCCGTTTGAACGTCGTAGTAAACTGAGTCCAGCAACAGAAAGCTGAGCGAGTAAGACAATACGTTCAACGCAGTCAGCAATTGGAAATGTGAGTCCGATCTTGTCAGAATTGTAGCACATAAGAAACAAGTGGGTCCACTCACAGAGAGTGTAGCACACTGTCTAAGAAAATAAACTGAGACCCTGAGACTGGCACTCTTACCGTAGCGTGGAGCATCCACGAGTCCATTCGAGCCATAGCGGAAAAGTTGTTAAATTGAACGCACGGGGGTGCTAAGCGGTCATTTTTCTGTTGCCAAAACACGAAAACCACACACATGTGCTATAAGCGATAGCTGTAAGATATGCAATTCAATTGCAAAATGCATATGTGTTGCTTTTGTTTGTTATGGGATAATTATTTATGACCCAGTTAAGAGGGTGCTTTCATACTTGGCAAATCACATAGTGAGAAAATTTGCTGTCTCTCCCGTGATTAAACGTAGTATATGAAGTGAAAAGACTAGCTGATGTTAGGAAAGTGTATGTGCAAGTAAACATTCAACGGGGCCTAAGAAAGCTTGTCTAAAACGTATGTATATGAATGTTTAAAGTAATCGATGGTTCCAATGACAGTGGGGAAACATAAAAGGACATAAACATTTGTTTATGAAAACCAATAATGTGGTCGATGTGGAAAAGTAATAGCAACTATTGTGTTTATCTTTTTCTCGGTTCTGTAGAATCATGGACGATATGGATTGGCCGCTGCAACCCTTCAACGAGGCAGTCGATTCATCAGACCGCAGAAGGGAATGGGAGGAATGGTACCGTTCCTTCGAGCTTATTCTGGAGATGAAACGTATCGAGTCCCAGCATGAGAAACTAGTATTGCTGCTAGCTCGTGGAGGACGTGGATTGCAGCGCATTTTTTACAATTTGCGCCCGGCGCCAGAAGAGGTATACCCTGAACCGGTTCCGGTACCCTTGATACCGAAAGAAATTCCTGAGTACGACAATGCGGTCTTGAGGCTGAGTAAATTTTTCATCGGGAAGCGTAATATTCGAATCGAACTCGAATTATTCCGTACACTCAAGCAAGCGGAATCTGAACCATTCAGTCGATTTTTACTGAGGTTGCGTACTCAGGCAGCACGCTGCGAATTTCAAGATCGAGAAGAAATCGAGATTTTGCAGCAAGTGACCATGGCAGCGTTTGATGAACGGGTCCGAGACAAAGGGCTCGAAGGTACACTCAACCTTGACGAGATCACCAACTACGCTATGAACAGAGAGATGCTCCTTAAGCAGAAGGAGAAAGCAAAGGTATTGAAGGAAGAACCAGCCGTGGTTGCGGCGGTGAAGCAAGAGTGGGGTACAAGAACAGCATTCCGAGGTAAAGCCAAAGGACGGCCATTCCAGTCGGGACCGAGAAGAATGGGAAGCGAGTGCAATCGTTGTGGTTCGTACCGTCATTCGAGTGAGGATCAAAGTTGCCCAGCCCGGAAGGCTCGCTGCAATAGTTACGGGAAAATAGGCCACTTCGGTAGGAAATGCCGGGCGGGAATCTACAAGCGATTCGGTCGTCATGAGACCTGGAAGAAACCGAAGGAGGAAGCCAATATCATCACCTCGGGAGATGATTGGAACGAAGAACTACCTCGTCGTCCAGTGCCGGAAGATATTCAACAGGTAAATTGATTGTTCACATTTTCAATGAGGGTTTGTAGGATCCCAGTTAAGTTGATGCAGTATGTAAACTCAGCAACAGAAATTGTCAGGAATAAAACAAAAGAGATTAACAATAAAACATTGTTTTACTAGGTGACCTCATACTCCCACAACAATGGAATCATAATGTGTATGATCAACAGTTTTCCCGTTGAATTCCTCATTGACTCTGGAGCTGCGATTAATACCATTACTGAGGAGGTTTGGACAGAACTCCAGAGGAACAAAGTAGAAGTCTTTAAGCGAAACGTCCGCTGTAACCGCCAATTCTCTTCATACGCTAGTGAGAAACCGCTTCGTGTTCTAGCCATTCTTGAGTCCAAAATTTCTGTCAATCCCTCAAAACCGACTACTTATGCGGAGTTTTTCGTGATAGAGGGTGCCAACAAGTCATTATTGAGTAAAACAACTGCTGAAGAGCTGAATGTTTTAAAAGTTGGTTTAGATGTCCACCAAGTAGAAGCAACTGTGAGCCCCTTCCCGAAGTTCCCCAATGTGCAGGTGAAGCTCTCAGTCGATCCCTCCATCCCACCTAGGAAGATCGCTTATCTCAGGATTCCAGAACCCATGAAAGATAAGGTTGATCAGAAGATTCAGGAAATGCTCCAACAGGATATCATTGAGCCGGTTAAAAGCCCACCTGATTGGATTTCACCATTAGTGGTTGTACCCAAGGGTAAAGATGACGTTCGGCTCTGTGTAAATATGAAGTTCCCTAATGAGGCAATTCAACGAGAGCACTATCCAATCCCTGTGATTGACACCTTCTTAAACAAACTTCGTGGAGCAACATATTTTTCAAGACTGGACATGACCTCGGCTTATTACCATATAGAGCTGCATCCGGATTCCCGTTCAGTAACAACGTTCATGACAAACCAAGGGTTGATGCGT